GGAGACTCGTCTTGCATATAGGTGCCGGTTAGATATCTATGTACAAGTGCTGACTTTCCACTTCTGACTGTCCCCAACAGCCCCTTCGTGGACAATGAGAAAAATAGAATTATTTACCAGTTTTATGTCAGGAACATTGAAACTGAGTGTCCATTCCTGGCTATTGACAAAGGCATCTTAAATTATAGAGGCGAAACTAAGGAAAAAAATATATACCTTCAATGGAGACAACTAATTGCCTTAGAGCATCGGCTAGGCTTTTATCGTCTATATTCTCTATAAGGTCATAGATGGCATAAATGCTGGGATGTACACTTTCGAACCGAGCTATTTCCTGCCTTATTACGTAAGAAGTAGACTCCGACAAAGAATGGGAGGCCATTGCGTAACGAGAAAACGTCGGAATTCTACGCCATTTACTTGGTTTAAGAACAACCCGCCTTGTTTATCGCAGAACTATGCGGTCAATAAACCTATAACGAATTTCAATATACTTATTTTTAAAATAATAAAATGATATGGGTAAACGGATTTTGTCGTTTCACTCAAAATTTAGCCCTCATGTTTCATTGTGCCGCAACCTCCCGACCAGGTTGTTTTATCTCCCATTTTCCTCGTTGCTTCATTTAATTTCCAATTAACATTTACCCCCTTGTCTCTTCCTTTATGCATAAATTAGATGTTTTTTCTTAGATAATGACGGTGCCTGGTGACAATCTATCTCTTGTATGGGATGATTTGAAGAGTGGCATCGATGATATATTTCGGCTAGAAACAATAAAAAAGAGTAGATATATGAAGCTCTACACACACGTCTATAATTATTGTACATTCGTTGAACCTCAGCATCGTCCTAATGTTGGCAAAAACACGATGGAGGCTCCCGGTGGAAAGCTAGTTGGGATGGAGCTGTACAAAAAGCTGAGGGATTATTTGAAACAACACGTTCATATAGTCAAACTGGTATGATTAATTTACTTTATATTCGTTTAGAAAGGAGATAATCTTGTTGGAGGAGAAATGCTTTCGTACTTCGAAAAGGCCTGGTCAGATTTTCGCTTTGCTGCTAGCGTCCTAAATGGTGCATGCGCCTACTTAAATCGTAACTGGGTAAAAAGAGAGTGTGAAGAAGGTCGAAAAAACGTATACGTGGTTTATGCAGTAAGTCAACAACTACTCTTTGGTCCACTTTACCATATCTACACTATCCTATTCTAGCTTGCGCTCATTACTTGGAGAGAACACCTTCTAAAGCCACATAGCCGTGTTCTTATTGGTGCAGTCCTAAGGGAAATTGAGCGGGAGCGCATGGGTGAATCTCTTTCAACATTACGGCTAAGGAAGATAATTGAATGTCTAGTTGAATTAGGTATAACTTCTTCGGATCAGCAGCATACATTCAACCACAACTCCAATTTATCAAGCTCTCCGTCTATGCATCCACCGCTTGCATCTTGCCAAGCTGGTTCAGGACCGACTGGAATTCCATCGCATGGCCAACTTCAGCCAACTAGCCTTCTACCTTCTTCCTC